AGCTCCATGTAGCTACTAATTTTTAAACTACCAATAAAGATACGAGCAAGGCCTCACCTTAATACCAAAAAAAAAATCATAAATTCAAATATTTTTATACATTTGAAAACCATCAAATTTTAATAATTTTATTATTAATAACTTTTCAAATACATTTAACGAATATTTTTTATTTACTAATTGATTATTTTATTAAATATATAAAAAAAAAACTATCTAGATCATTCGTCATTCTCAAGAGACTTTCACAAATGATCATGCTAACTTTCAAAGTGAGGAGATGGTCAAGAGCACTAACCCTGTTTTAAAGACCATTCCTTATCGTAGCATTTGACCAAATACAATTTTTTATTTCATATCGTATCATATCTTGAGTTTGCGTTGTGATGAATTACGCAACGAGATTCTTAGGAAAGCTATAAGCTTTGTTTAAACTAAGAACTCGAAAATATGCTACTATCACAATGAAGCCTTTCAACAAATACAATACGATATTTTTTTTTTATCAATTATTAAAAAAAAATCATATTCGATACTTTTCATCTAAATAAATTTCATTCCTTATTTATAAAGATTATTTATTAATTCAGTTGTATATCAATTTCTATATCGGATTATCCGTGTATTTTTTTTTTTGTTTATATTTTGTTTACCTTTTTTAATTTTAATACAATCAATTATTGAAAATTCAATTATTGTATTGTTTAATTACTAATTTTTATATTAAAACAATATAAATAATATTTGAAATATAAAATAAAATTAATTAATAATAAATATCATATATTAAAATATATATAAATATAATAAATATCTTAATAAAATAAATTCATTTTACGATACACAATGACTGAATCATTTGAATTTCAAACATTACCAAATAATATTGTAAAACATAATAAATCAAATTTACCCCAACTGTCATTCATTTCTTTGTCTTTTTTTCCACCCCAAATAAATATTGATAAATTATTCATGGTAAAACCTAATTATACACCTTCTAAATCAAGTAATGCCTTTATCATCTATCAGAAAAACTTTATTAATCATCTTTATTTATTTGGGATAAGTTTAAAAATGACTGATGTATCACCTATTATTTCAAAAACTTGGAAAAAAAAACCAGAATATGTAAAAAACGAATATAGAAGAATTGCTGATATTGCTAAAATAAGATTTAAAGAACTTTACCCTAATTCGAAATGTGTTTATAGAAGAAAGAAAAAAAAAGAAATTCAACCAACACTTACTCCGATATTTTTATCAGATGAATCAGAATCATTTAAAATTGAAAATAATCAACACGAATATCCTTTACCAATTAAAAATTCATTTAATTCTGTATCATTCGATAATAATATAAATAATAATTATAAAAAAACTTATCATATAAATATGATTTATTGGCATTATTATAGTTTAAAAAAATATGTTATTTATCCGTATCAATCTTATAATATGGACATTTCACTTTTCAATTCGTATTTAGTATAAATTAATTTGTCTTCCATATAATTTTAAGATTATAATAATATGAAATGTGGTTTTATTATTAATATTAAATATATGATAAAATTATTAATTATAATATAAAAAAATTAAGTTTAATAAAAATAAATATCTGTCTAATATAATTTTTAATTATTATAATATTTGTAATGATTGAAAACAATTTCAAAAAATAAGCAATTTGAACACCAATAATACCAATAATTTTTATCAATATCATGAATTAAATCAATATTACGACATCTAAGATAATCAGAATTTTCATTATTTTTTTGCCAACAAATACAATCTTTCATATAATTTATCCTATTAGGTTTAAAAAGTTTTATATATTTAAAACAATATATATTTACTAAAAAATCTACAATAGGAAATTCACTTGAATCAATTAAACAACTGTTTAAAATTATAATTTCCCAAAAATTTAATATATTATTTTCTTTTTTATTTAAAAATTCGATAATATTTTTAAAATTATAAATATCTATATTTAAATATTCAAAAAACGATAATAAAAATATAACATCATATTTAATATTACAATCAAATTCTATTTCAAATTGTTTAATAAAATATCTTTCAAATTCTTCTTTAAAATTTTTATCAACAAGACGAAGAGTATTAAAATTTTTTTTTGGTATATAAAGATATATATCAGTTTTATAAATATCATCAAATACACTATCAGATATCATTTTGATAATAATTCCAAAAATTTTCTTTGGAATTATCTTAAAATAACGTTTAATTTCCATAATATATTTTACTATTTTATTTAGTTTGACAAAAAAAAATTTAATTAAATAAAATTTTGAAATTAATAATTGATAAAAAAAAAAATAAAATAGAAAATTTTTATTTTAAAATTATTACTAATTATAATATAATTCAATATAAATTAAAATATAATAAACAATATATTTAAACTTGACCGATCAATATTTATTGATGATCATTATCAAACATGTATAACAAAACAATAATCAAACTTGAATTATTTCTTAAAGTTTATCCGTTATCATAATTTCCTTTTATATTTAAATCACACAAATATATTTGAAGTTGCAATCTTGATAATCTGTTTATATTAATAATTTCCTTCGACTATTTAATAATATCAATTTCCCAATAAACGAATAAAATTTAATATTTACAACATCAAAAAAAATGTCTTCTACAATTATTTCCAATGATCCCAATAACTCAGAATGTATTATTATTTCATCTTCAAGTTCCAACATTTCAAAAAAACATAAACATGAAGAAATTTCAGAATCACTCCAAGAAATTATTGAAATATCTGTTTCTATCAAAGATTGTGGAATTTGTTTACATAAAATTAGAAAACCTTTTACTTTTTCTTGTTATCATTTCTTTTGTATTAAATGTGCTTTGGATTTTTTAAATTCTCCTAACAACACATATCGTTGTCCATTATGTCGTGATGGCTTTGATGAGAATGAAAAAGAAATATTATTACAACGAATTAATTTATCATATCATATACAGGATGAACGAAAACGAAAAAAATTAGATATAATTAGAAGAACTTATGATACACAAATAATAAGATTGGAAAGAGAAGAAGAAAATAAAATAATTAATATTAAAAAAAATACGAAAAAAAATAAAACTGCTATTCACAGAGAATATCTTGAAAAAAAAGAGAAGAAGAAGAAAAGGAAAAAAAATTACTAAATGAATTAACAAATAGTAATAGAATTAAAAAACAAAAATTAATGGAAGAAAAGGAAAAAGCGATAAAATTAATTGAAGAAAAATTTGATGATGAAAAATAAATTATTTGTTATTAATTGTTCTAGAAAATTCTAATATTTCTTCTATTTGTTTTTCAAAATCTTTTTCATTTTTTTCAAATTCAAGATTTTTATAT